AATTCTAACTACAGTCACGTCAAGTCTGACTCACAGCAATCCTTGGACCGAGTGGAAATTCTCCCTAAGAGTTCTAAGATTGTCAATCTCTGTGGGAGGAGCTATTTTCATCTTTCTACAGCAGTCTAACTGCTGACCTTGTGGTTCCCAGGCCAGTGTATAACCCACTACACCAGCATGTCGTCTTAGCGATAGGGTTACCAGCTGGGCTACAAAATGCAAGGTCAGCAGTTTGAAACCACTAGCCACTCCACAGGACAGAAAAAATGAGGCTTTCTACTCCTAGTGTGTTACAGTCTTGGAAACCCACAGGGGCAGCTCTACCCTGTCCTACGGGGTCCCGTGAGTTGTAATCAACTCGATGGCAGTGAGCTTGCTTTTGGAACGTTGTAAAGTTTAAGTGAGGTCATCAAGAGAAAGTAACTCAGTACCTTCCATATCATAGGCAATCAAATACATACCAATTATAAATGGCATGTAGCATTTCTGAGATGAAGAACCCCCTGTCATGGTTGTTGCTATACACATTCATAATAGTCTCTGGTTACCACATCCAGCAAGGTTTGAGTGCTTGCCTCTTTTATTTTGTTAAACGTGTTATTACTCAGGACTCGTTTGGTCGCACATAAACCTACCTCAATATGAGTTCAGGGAAACGAAAAAGAATGGATGACTCAGGGAGATGATCAGATTATTCTACTTATAATTTAATGTCGTAGGGTAGAGTTGACTAAACATATGTCTGAATCCATAGGTTCAAAAGATGTTTTCATGTATCCTTCTACCTGTATCCTCTGGCTCACTTTGTTATGTATGCATTGATGCATGTGTTCATGCATGCATGTGTGTGTGTGTGTATGAAGGAGCCCTGTTGGTGCTGTGGATGAGACTTTGGAATGCTAACTGTCAGGTCAGTGCTTCCACACCCCCACTCCAATTTGCTCCTGTGAAGATTTATCATCTTGGGATCCCTACACAGCATCACGATGAGTGGAAATGAACTCAGTTGCAGTGGGTTTGGTTTTGTGTGTGTGTGTGTGTGTGTGTGTGTGTGTGTTTGCATGAGTCTATCTATCTATCATCTATCTATCTATCTAATCTTCTATTTCCTGGTTTAGCTTTATTCTCCAACTAGCTATGATGGCAAAATGAGATATCAATTTTATCAGACTTACGGATTACCAGCTTTGAAGTCACTTTTTTTTTTTTCTCATTAAATTTATGTTGCTCAGCTGGGGGGCAAGTCATGGATTAGGTAAAATTGCAATAAAAGAATAACATAAGTACATTTTGGACTGATTTGACATTTCACAAAATAATCTAAAATGCTATCAGTTGGATATTGCTCCTGGTGGTGTAGTGGTGACTCATCAGCATGGTCAGTGCTTCAAAACCAGCAGCAGCTCTCCAGAAGACAGACTGGGCTTTCTACTCCCATAAACAGTAGGACCTGGGAACACCCACAGGGAGTCACTATAAGTCAACATTGACTCAATGGCAGTACATTTGTTTTTTCCCCTGTTACTTTATTTTATTTTATTTTTTTTAGCATTTTATTAGGGGCTCATACAACTGTTATCCCAATCCATACACACATCAATTGTGTAAAGCGCATTTGTACATCGTTTCTCAAAACATT